AAATTGCTCGCTTTATGCCACACATCAGAGTCTCTGACTGCCACACACCCCCACTCACTCTCCATTGGCCCCAGTCATAAATAAAGACAATAAATATGATGATAATTAAGTGCGTCGCACATTCTCTCAATTTAGCCTTATTAACCCAAAAAAAAGCAGAGAAAACGAAAAAGAAAAACTGAGGAAAATGAGAAAAAAGAAATGACACAGATATTAATTTCCCACACGAAGGACCCGCAGTCACGATATATACATACATATGATGGCTCCACAAGGCAATGCCAGCAACAACAACAACAACAACAGCCGAAAGGAGACGAGCTCCCTTTCTGGGCATAAAGCCTAAACGTAAACGAGTAAATTGGCAGATTTTAGCAGTAAACACAAAAAGTGGGCAGCACACACACAGTGTGTGTAGCGTGTGTGTGCGCGTGTGTGTGTGTGTGCGTATATGAGATATGAAAATATAAAGAAAAATGTCAACAATCTATTGACAGCTGAGACTGTAACTGATTGTGCGGCAGTTGTGGCATTAAAGCAAAGCAGGGCACGTCGCAAACAAAGCCATAAGCACACGACACACACACACACACACACGCACATACACACACATGTATACAATGCTTGTAATTTTGATGTCAATAATTTTGCAGTACATACTCTTAGGGGTGACAAATATTATTGCCTGGTCTACATGGCGCGTGGCCCCACTGTGGCTGTCCCTGCAACAGCTACTCCACAACAACAACAAAGGCAATTGACAGCCCCCATCTTCAACAATGAAATAAGCCGAAAATGCTGCAAAATTTATAACAAATAAAAAACAATTATATTGAACAAGTGGAAGCCAGGCAGCGGCAGCGGCAAAGGCACTTTAGGCATTTATTTATGTGCCCATTAAAGAACTTGCAGTGGCCATAATTATGCTAGATAACTTAAGAAACCAGCCCAGCCCGGCCAGCTGTGTGCGTCGATTACCAAATCAGAACTAAAAATATAAGCAGCTAGGAACCTCAAGCTTTTAGAAAATTATAAAAATTATAAAAATAATAATTATAAAACTTATGAAGCCTAAGAGTAAATTAATAATTAAAAGCTAAAATCTCAAACTAGTGAAAGCAGCATTGATGCGAATCAAAAGCAAGCATAATAATAGATAATATTATGGCCACACTCTACTGATATAGCTCGACATAAAGAGAGAGAGAGAGAGAGATTCAGAAACCAGAGCAACTCTCAATTGTGCAGTGTTTGCCTTGATGTGACAGAGGTGGGGCGGCAACGACACCTATTTTCGCATAATGCCCATTGAGTCGGAGGCTGTGAAGAAACAATTAAAATAATGCTAAATATTGTGGTTAAATGACAGCAACATTGTCATTGACAGACATTCGGCCGGACAAAAGGGCTGCCCAGACGCAGCCGAGTGGAGGAGAAAAGGCCAATGGCTAAGCGCAGGCAAAATGAACCACAATTAAAGGCTCCGGGTCTAAACAGGGTCAAACAAGGTAGCGCAAATGGGGTCGACTGAAGGATGGGCGGCTCTGTTGTGGCCGGTAGTCTGTGAGCTTGAATAATGGGCAAAGCCGCAAAAATTACACAAATGCAAAGTGCCGCAGTGGGAGTGGGAGTGGAGGAGGCAAGGGGGGGGGGGAGGGTGCTGGCAGTGCAACACTGTTTATGTGTGCGTGCTTCGAGTCTTGTAGAAAGAAATGTGGTAAAATGAATAATTTCTTTTTAATTTTCACTTATGTAATTGCTTTTTAAATGATTTGCAAAAAGGAGTGCAACACACACACGGACATGGACACGGACACAGCGTGCACGTCATTTTAATACAAATGGTGTTTAAAAAATGCAAATTCTGTCAGCTTGAAGCCAGCACATAACGTGGCTGGAGCCAACGCAGCTGAGAACTCAGCCTGATGCGTGAGATGTTTCTGTATCTGTTTCGGTTTCTGTTTCTGTTTCTGTTGTTGAAGTTGGGCCAGCCTCAGTGCGTTTGCTGGTTTTGGCTTACTGGTTTCTCCCTCTCCCTCTGCCGCTTGGCTGTCAGTTTGTTTTAGTAATCGACTTATTCATGGCCTACAAGCGATTCGGTTGTGCAAGGCGCGCTACTTGCCACTCCGGGGAGGGGGTGGGGGCTCGGTCACAGCTTGGCTTGCCAGTGATTGCGATTTCGCATTCGCTTTGTTTTCATTTTTTCGCTTTTGCTGGAGACGAGGACTGCGATGTCAGGATCTGTCATTACCGTTATTTATGGGGGCGCATTTTAAAACCCATCAAATGTGGGCGCAGCGGCGCGGCCGAGGCGGGCCTCTGGCCACAGTCGAGCATCCCAAACAGAAATGTTCAACCTCATCAATGCGAGCGCCTGCAAAATGGCAACCAAAAAACAGGAAACGCTTACATTGACAGCTGAGCCTGGCCGGGCCTGCGTTGTTGCTATTGTTGTTGCTGTTGTTGGTATGCCAGGCTGTATAGCAGGCACATTCCCTGCGCAGAGTGGGCTGCATAATAAAAGTTGATCAAATTGCTTGTTCTACACTGAGCCGAAAATCAAGCTAAAAAAAAGCCAAAAACTCGAGTTCGAACTGAACTGAAAAACGAATTAAAATACTTGGAAAATGTTTCTATAATATTCCATTAAATTGGCCTAAATATGCTAGCCAAATGGCAAGCTGATCTGCTGGATTGATTAGAGTTAACTTCGAAGTGCTGAAGTGCTGAAGACTTGCGTAAATTCAGTTGGCACTGAAATATTTTTGAGTTGCCGAGCAAAGCCGGGCAATTGCTTAGTGTGTGTGTGTGTGTGGCGCAGCAACTGGCATGTGAATCCCAAGCGTTTGACTCGATTAAGCAGCACGAAACCATCAAAACCGAACCCTGAATTCCATATTCCGTATGCCGTATGCCGTATGCCGTATGCCGTCTGCCGAATTCCGACCGAGCGACCCATTGACCAAGTTAAAATATCCGCTATGTCCCCATATATATGTGTATATATATGTGTGTGTATGTGTGTGTGTGTGTGTGTGTGTTGTGCGGGTGGCTAGTCATGTCTTCATATCTCTGCGAAAGTAAAGCGCAAATACACAGATGCATACAAAGAGAGTAAGAGAAGGAGAGAGGGAGTGTGTGTGTGTGTGTATGTGTGTGTATGTGTGTGTTGGTTTTTGAGTTATGCAAACTATGGCAACTGTTTGCTGTAGCGTATTTCATTTCCAGCAGCCACTTCAAATGCGGTTGGCAGCATTTGGGCCGCGGAATCAAGCGCCAAGAGACCTCATAAAAACGACTAACGGCACACAGCACACCAACACATATTAAAATGTGGCTTAATGGCACACACACACACACACACACGCTCGCACACGATGTAGTGGCAAAGGGTTCAAAGTTTGCCAAAAAAAAGGAAGAAAAAACGAGGCAGACAAATGGGAAAAGCGACGCGCGGAACAAGCAAATGTATTTCGTTCCATTTTCCCGTTATTGTTGTTGTTGTTGTTGGTTTTTCTCCTTTATATATATATATATATATATACTTTGTAGTCTGTGGGCCTGGGAATCGGTGCCACGGCATGCAATGCTGCATGCACACGATTGCATAATTTGAATCGGCTTAGGCTGCTCCTACGGCGACTTCCAGCTGCCACGTGTCAAATTTGAAAGCAGAGCTCAAAAAAATAGCACAGCCCAGCTCAGGCCCTAAAAATCTGGCAGCCAACAACTGCAGCAGAGCAGAGCAGAGCAGCCCGCAGCATGGCCCAGCGCCTTCACCGCTTTCAGTGCAACTAGGCAACGGTTCATTAATCTATTTACAAGTTCACGCAGACAGTTCGCATAATCAATCAATAGAGGGCGCGTGGACAGTGGGCGTGGCATGGCGATGACTAATGGCAGGCATGTACCAGCTGTGAGCTGTGCGCTGTGCGCTGTGGCTGCTCCGCTGCGGCTACAGCCCAGATTCTTTTTTGCGGCTGCCCACGCCCAGCCTCCAGCCTGTGGCTCTAGCCTTTAAGCCGTTGCATATTTAGCAACATGTTCAAAACAAATATCAATTACGATATTTGGCAACATGTCTTGCTTTGCGGCTTAGACTGAGAGGATGCCACTATGTCGGAATTTGGCTAGGTTCAGCGCACTTTGGTCAGACTTGGCCATGTTAAGAGTGCTAGAAAAGGCTAAGCTATTGGTTGGATATATGGATATATATAGATATATAGATATATGAATTATCGATATATATATATATATCTATATATAAATATTTTAAGCCTTTTTATACTTTTTTATACTTTGCGAGAATTGAAAAGGATCTTTGTCTGTGGAGAAGGTTAAGGAACTAGCTAAGGCCTTTATCCTTAAGCCTTTGTAAGAAATATATTTCTGTGCAGCGCAAGACGTGGGATGATTAGGACTAGGAACTCAGTAAAAGGCAGAGCAAACACAATATAAGTTAATATAAATAAAAAATTGCAAAAAAAGTCTTTCTCGTCAAATTTAAAAAAGAGAGGAGAAAAAACATAGAGAAGACCAAAACCCACTTTGAGAATCTGTCAAGCTCAAAGACTCCCTTAGACATAGATAAATGTATTGAGCTATATCAAGCATAAGATAAGGATAAACTTAGTTTCAGCTTGGCTTCAACTGAAAGTTCGATCAGCTCGAAGAACAAGCAAAACACAATGAATTCGCTCTAGATACATGAGTTGACTTCCTAAGCTGTCCCATTTGCTTGGCTCACTCTAACGCACAACGCTGAAGTGCTCAAGTTATAAAGGCGCAGATTTAAGACAAGTTTGCAGATGTAAAGATGATTCATAGATTTGCTGGCTATAAAGTTGCCTGAAAAGAGTCGAAGTTGGAGCTCGAGTTGGACTTCAAGTTCAAGTCCGAGTTCGAGTTGGAGTTGCAGTTGGAGTTCGAGCCACTATCGCGTCCTTTTATACATTTTGAGAATCAAATGCGTAGTTTAATCATAAATTTTACAATTGATAGCAAACTGTACAATTAATCGGGCACTAAACAATTTACTGGCAGCTAGAGTTCGAATGGCTGCCTGATATTGGACATCGATTGAGTGAGTTAATCAGTTGTGGTTGCTTCTGGCTGCAGTTACGCGGTGAGTGGTGTGGGTGGTGCGGCTGGCGGTGCTAGTGCTGGATAACCTTGGAGGTGGCCAAAATGAGCGCCTTGGGCTGCGTTGGCTGCTCCGCCTTGGCCCTGACACTGCCCGAGTCGCCGGCGATCTCAGTGGACTTGATGGGCTCCTCCTGAGTGGTGGCTGCCGGCTGGCCGACATGATGGCACCTGCACTGGCAGAGTTTTTGCTGTTTCTTTAGGCGATTGCGCAGTCGCACCTCGGGATGGCCGCAGCAGTGCTCGCACTCATCGTCCGAGGACGAGGAGCTTTCGCCAAAGTCGTGCGGCTTGCGGTAGATGCAGCAGCATTTCGATTTGCGCCGATTCATGCCCTCGTTGTCGATGACGCCCTCCTGGAACGTCACATGGCGCTCCGTGTCCAAGCACATCAACAGCAGATGCACGCCCGAGACGCCGGGCCTGTCGTCCGCCATTGCTGCCGCCGTGCCAGACGATCCCGACGCAACATCCGACCCATTCCCAATGATGCCCGAGCTGTCCCGCTCAATGCTGATCGGTCGTGGTGGCTGCTCTTCCATACTGTAAGATTTTAGTAAACATTGGACAGAGACACACTGTGTGTGAGTGAGTGAGTGTGCGAGTGTGTGTGTCAGCTTGTGACTATGCCCCACACCCGCCCAGTTTCGTATACAATATACAGTACACACACCTGATAGAGTTCACTGTTCGGAATAGGCCTGCGTTAGCTTGAAAGAAGTGAATTTGAATGCGAATTGAAAAACGTTAGAAATTTTGATGCAATTTGATTGTCTCCAAACAGAGTCTGAAATTGACGTTGTTGTCTCAGTGAAAAGCCAACTGCGTTCACATCAGCTGCCAAGCTGAAGAGCAACGTGCGGCTGCGCCAAGTCTTTCAAACAGTTTGCTGACCTTTGCCATTGCCAAGCAGCGGCTAAGCGCAGTCCTTTGGCTGCCAAAAAGTTGCGCACGATTTACGTCTGCTGCAGCAGCGGCAGTCACACCCAACGGCTTGGCCATGTTTATCTAAAAATGCCACGCCCCCCGCTCTAACTGCAGCTCTACTTTATTATTGAGTGAGCCATTTTCCATTTGCCATTTGCCATTTGCCATTTGCCATGGCCCGCCCCAACCCGTTTGCTCCTTCGCTTTTCACTCACCCACAACTTTCGATTCGTTTTTATTTTGTTCGCCTCGCAAATAAATGTTCCAAATAATATAAGGACGGCTCGGAGCGCAGCGGCTGCTCGAGGTGAAGGAACTCTGTGCAAGCGCTTTAAAGAACACACAGAAAAAAACTTGTTCGTTTGGCTATTTCCAGTTCTTTTTTATTTTTTTTCGTCTCGCTCTCCTTCTATTGCCTTTTATTTTAGTTTTTATTCACATTTATGTGGCATTAGCAGCAAGAGAAATGATGTGTCTGGCCGAGAGGCGAGCAGCCAACACTTGCCAGTCATCCGACCATAAACTCAATTCTAATATTCGACTGCAACTTTATGGAACTTTAATTGCAGAATACAATTCGCGTCGCATGTGCCCGACTTGGAGCAGGAAAAGTCCAAGGGATAAACGATCAATCATGGCAAATCCTCGGCTCTTGGGAATGGAATTTGAATGCAAGCCGCTTGAGCTTCAGAATAATCAACTGAAATTCGTAAATTGATGAAATTTTTAGCTAATTCTGTCGTTTCATAAAGAGCTCTGTGTATATGTATATGTATTTGATGACATTTTAAACTATTTGTGGGCCATAAATGCATTTGAATTTGTGTAGGAGAAACATGCTGTGGGCTCTGTCTCTCTCGCCCCACCACTCTCGCTCTCTCTCTCTCTGTATGAGTTATGGTGCCGGACAAGATTCGTTTTTCGCAGCCATTGAAATGAAATCTAAAATTCATTACGCACTTTATGGAGAAGGGTAAGGCAGCCCGAACTGAAGCTGCAGCTCGAACTCGACACGTAACGACTCAAAGTAATGAGACGCGTGCCTTCACCAGCCAGCGACCGGCTGAGCTCTGCCACATGCCATTTATGTCCCAATGGAGACACGCTCAGCGCGACGACAGTCGGTCGAGCCCGGTGCCTCCGGCTTGCGAGGCTCAGGTTGAGGCAGCGCTCGCTCCATCGTCTTTATCGTCGTCGGAGTTGTCTTTGGGGACTAAGATGAATTACATGCTACTTCAGGCAGCTGCCAGCTTAGATGCTGAGCACAAGAAGACGACGACTGCAGCCCCAGCCCGGCCTGGCCTGGGCTGTTAGCCAGTGAAAGACATGTAGATAAGATGTTACGTATACGCACAAAAAGGTACCAGCAACTAAATCCCCAAGCAAATAGTTTTGCAGCAAGCAACAACAGAGTTAGAGCGAGAGAGAGACTAGAAGGAAGTATGGGCTGTGCGGGAAATCAACCGCACGGAAATCATGTCTACGCATCATTCTTTGTGCGCTATTACTTTACCAGCAGAGGCAGAGGCAGAGGCTGGCAGAGGCAGAGGCAGCGGCAGAGGCACTCTGCACAGCGGGCAGCAAAACTTTTCTTTCTTTTCTTTCATTTTTCTACATATTTCTTCTTCATTTTTTCTCTGGTCTTTTTTTTAATTTTTTGTATTGTATTTCGTTTGCAGCACTTGTGTGAATTTGCGTGGCTGTGTGGAAATGTGTGATAAGCAGTTTCCGCCTGGGAATAGTGGAATAGCAACAACAAGCCCATCGAGTGTATATAGTTCTGGTCTAGGCTCGCTCCACTCCCAGCGGTGCGGCTTCATTTTCCATTTTCTTTTCATACAACTGGCCATTTTCCTTTTCATTGGCGTCGAGCTGGCGTGTCGAGTAGGAGGATCCTGATGCCGCCAGCAAATAATACGAGCGCATATAGTTAACCAACGGCAAAAGGAAGCTGTGGCTACTAATGCAAATATAATGGCAAATGTTTCGGAAATATTTCACAGATAAAATTGATAAAGGCATACACATATATATGTATATATATATATATATGTGTGTGTGTGTGTGTATACATAGCCATGCACCCGCTACACTCCAACCACTGCCGTTCCCTTTCATGTCTCTGCCATTGTGCAGCCAAATCGGAACGGAAAACTATTTGATGGCATTTGTACCCCTTGCGCCAATGAAATACAAAAAGAAATTCATATTCCCAGCGATGTTAGTGTTTCATACTCAAGCAGGATTCGCGAGCAAAGGACTTAAAGCCTTCCACTGAAACTAACTAAGCTCAGAGCTGAAGAGACAGCCCGCACTTCTCCAAGCTCAAGTTAAGTTTGTCATCAAATGCGACATTTATTAGCTGCCAATGTTCATATGTAAATGCTACTAAATATGCCCAAGTCAGGCGCCCCTCGCCCCGGTAACGGCTCGAGTCTTTGCGCAATTTATTTGTTTGTGTTTACGCTTGGCCCGGCTTTGAGCTACTTAAGTAAGCGGAATAAATTGCCAAAAATAGTTGAGTAACAGTTGAGGCATGGCCTCTTTGGACTATTCTTTATGGTCTGACCCGAATTCCAGCTTGAGCAAATCTAATACAGAATTCCATTACAATTATCAACATTTTATTTAACTCGCATAATTTGAAAGCAGCAAACGAGTTAAGAACTCGCCCTCGCCCTCGCCCTCGCCCTCTCTATCTTTCTTTGGGAGACTATTCGCTGGTCCGTGATGCGACGCGGCAAATGTATCATAAATTTTCATGTTGCTCCAAAAATACGAATTGCGATTTTCTATTGTGTTTGGCGAGTGGGTGGGTTGCTTGAAACTGCCATGAAACTGGCATAAAATGCGAAACCCAAGACAGAATCCGTCCCAAACTGTAGTTGCTGCTGCTGCTGCTGCTGCTGAGGCAGCAATTTGTGTGTCCAGCCATAAAGCAGCAACACACGCGAAGCAGAGTAAAAAATAAAGAGAAAAAAATGAAACGAAAAAATGCAATACAATTTCATTTTATGCAAGAAACAAGGACTGGACAGGCAGCAGGCAGCAGGCAGCAGTTGGGCGTGAGCTGGAGCTGGAGCTGTGCAGGAGGCAGTCAGAGGCAGGCAGGCAGGCAGCAACATCTTTATGGTGAAAAATTTGTAATTCCCATTAGAATTGCGCTTCGCTTTTCTGGGTTGAAGTCGCTCGTGCTCACTCTCCTACGCTGCCGCCGCCTCCTGCTCCGCCCGCTGCCTCACCGAGCCCGTTTGCATTGCAGATAAGTTGGCATGAGATGAAATGAAACCAAACCAAGGCACCGGAGTCGAGCGAAACGCGGCGAGCTGGCAGTAAGTAGGAAAGTGTATCACACACACACACACACACACATGCAGACAAAAATATAAATAAATAAATAACAAAAAGCTTGCAAGGACATGAAAGCAATAAAAGCATAAAATGCGCAGCTCAAATTAGATAAACAAAAAATGGCAGTAGACGAAAGAACGCGTCAAATTAAAGTCAAACACAAAGCCAGCTGCAGCACATGCCAAAGAGCACAGCACACACAGCGACATACAAGGTGGAAATAAGGTGAGAGAGAGAGAGAAAGGAAATTTCCTGGAAACATAGATGAAGATACGTTGACTAAAACATGCTACAAATGAAGATACAGATACAATTAGAGAGGAATAGCGATGGATATAGCAGCATTTAGAGTTCGAGATACAGATACATTTTCAGTCTGCAGATACAGATACAGAAGCAGATCGAGTTATTGTTCAGGATATTTGAACAGTTTACAGATAGAGATTGAGAGTAGATACAGAAAAAGATACAAATGTCTCTTAATATAGATAGAGATTGAGAGCAGATACAGAAAAAGAAACAAATGTATCTTGATATAGACATAGATTGAGAGTAGATACAGACACAGATACAAATGTATCTTGATATAGATAGAGATTGAGAGCAGATACAGATACAAATGTATCTTGATATAGACAGAGATTGAGAGAAGATACAGAAACAGATACAAATGTATCTTGATATTGATAAAGATTGAGAGGAGACACTGAAAGAGATACAAGTGTATCTTGATATAGATAGAGATTGAGAGTAGATTCAGTCAAAGAAACAAATTGAGATTGAGAGCAGATACAGATTTAGATAGATGAATAAGTGCTGACAGCAGATACACACGAAGTTACAGATACATATTGTCAGATACTGAAACGGATACAGATATATGCGTACGAGGAGATGCAGCTAAAGATATTGATGCAGATAGTGATACACATTAAGAACAGATACAAATGCAGATGGAGATACAGCTAAAGATAGATAAAGATAAAGATTCAGATATAGAAATATATACACACGCACAGAGACAGATATAAATAGATATAGATATAGAAACTTAGATACAGATATAGACATATGAAAAGGAGTAGAGGAATAAGGCATAAAGAAATATATGAAATATTGAAATATATAAATGCATAAATACAGATGTGGCTTATGATACGAATACAGATAGATATGTGGAAAAAGATACTTTTGCAGATGCAGAAATGAATATAGATACTGAAAGGCATTCAGAAGAGATCAGATACAGATACAGTTTGTGCGATAGATATTGATGCAGATACAAATTAATGAAGAGTTTCAGATACATATTTTCAGCAGCAGAGATAGATGTATGCAATGCAGATTAAGATAGAAAGAGAAAGAGAGAGATACAGTTACGCATACAGTTATGGATAGAGATGCAGACGGAGTGCGTCTCGTTGGCCAGGCTTTTCGCTCGTTCCATTTATTAAAATGATATTTCTGTCGGGGATTTTAAAGCCGCTTTAGTTGGTACAAATGTAACTTTTTGTAAGCTTCAGTGCGCCGGGAC